TAAGGTAACAATAATATAATAAGATAACCTTGTTTGAAATGGGTTTGGCTAAAACAACATTTTGGTTTTGTTTATACTACTAGGTACATATACTATATTGACTGGGTTAAATAGAATTGCATTTCTAAAAAGAGACAAAAATAAAATTTTCTAGAACTAGACTAAATGTCATCCGTTTTCGTCGACTAAAACTAGACGAAAATAGTCATGGATAATTCTGACTAAAATAAGACTAAAATGCTCAGACTTTTAGTTGACTAAAACTTGACTAGACTAAAAAGAGTATGAACGTGACTAAAGCTAATAAAAACTAAAATGACTGCTTCACACTAAAATTAAAACAGGCCGCCAAAAACAACACTAGTGATTAGTGACGAATGCGGAGAGAGAACAAAACAAAACACTGGTCACGAATTAGAAACCGAAGATTTGCAAAGAAAAATGTCGCAGGATTTCGATCTAAACCAAGAGGAGACTGGTTTTCCTTTGCTAAAGTAAGGAAACTTTGCTTCCTTTGCTCCTATTAAACAAACTTGCGAGACTAGCATATCTCATCTTTATTCATCCCCGGAGCCGTCTGCAGCACGTTTTATAATGAATGCGCGAGCTTTATTTGACGACTTGTGGACTGTTCAACTGCAACACCCGCTGACTGCAATGATAGAGCTTGGAATATCCAGGATAATTTTTTTATATAACTCCGACTGGATTCGTCTGAAAGAAGAAAGTCATATACACCTAGGATGCCTCGGGGGTGAGTAAAACACAAGCTAATTTTCATTTCAAGTTCTAAGCCCGTGGTTCACTCTTAATAAGCCAGAGACTCATCTGAAGGTCAAAAGCAACAGCTGTGTCCACAGAAAAAGCTCTTGAGATACGCTTAACCTCATGCACTAAAATAGCATCACCAGAATACAAAGTAAACATTGAGATATGTGATTTTGGACTTGAGAACTTAAATGGGCATTTCAGCCAGGAATGCACATTCTGTCATCATTTACTCACCCTCATGTTGTTTCAAACTTGTATGCATTTGTTTCTTTTGTGAAAAAGATTATTTTGGACCCCACTGACATTCATTGTATGGAAAAAAACAGACATTTAAAAAATAGCTTCTACATATACACACATATATTTAAGCGCTATTGCAGAGGGTAATATTTTCTGAGAGTGAAGACTTATGGCTTTGAATACACAGCAGCACACAAATTGTATGGACTACTCTTATGGTATTTGGCATCAAGGTTCTTCAGAATATCTAATTTTGTGTTCCAGAGAAGAACATGAGGGTGAATTCATTGGTCAATTATGGATGAACTGTCCATTTAAAGTGAACTTCTTATTTAAAACGAACAGCTATTTTACATATTTACTGAAAAATCAATAAAATGTATTTCTAACAGAATACTGTATGTACATTATACAAATGAATGTAAACAGTCTACAGATTAACAGGTTAATGAACTGCATTACTTGTAATGGACTACTTTTAACAAGACTCTATGATATTCTGGTCTCTAAAAATGGCTCAGATTCATTCTTCAATGCAACTCTAATGGATTTTTTCTCTATTTTGTCCAAGAGGACACACCTCTCCTCAACAAGCCTTACTATCCAACGTCTCATTTATGGTGCAAACAGTAAATCACGACTTATAATACTTAGTTATTGGTATGTTCATAGAGCATATACTATTGATTATTCACTGAACATCAGTGACATCATACTTGGCCTATCCAATGAACTGGTCATTGACTACAGTAGATAATACATTCATTAATATATACTGTATATATATATATATACTGTATATATATATATATATATATATATATATATATATATATATATATATAAAAAATGTA